TTTCTCATAATTTTTTGGATGCTGAATGCAAGTGCATTTTCCAAATTATATCACAATTTGGAGAAATTTATAAAAAAAAAACTACTTTTACATATTTTGTCATGTTATAATGTATGATGTACTGGAAAAATTTTATTGCAATCAAAATTAAGCATGTTAGGACTCTCAACTAAGGATTTTATAGTATCAGCTATGGGTAATAAGATATTCATAGTTAAATATGAGGGTGGAGGGGGGGAGGGTCTATTGTGGAAAAATGAACCAGTTGTTGACCATTTACTAGTTTTCAATTATATTTAGTTAAATGTAATTATTTTTAGATCGTTGTAAACAAATCCGATGTAAGATATCTACACATTTTGCAACAATTTAAACATTTTTAAATTTTGATATCTGCTATATTAAATCTGTTATTTCGAATTTGTTAATTTTAACACAGATTTATATTTAATGAAACACAGATTCAATGATAAAAATACTTATATGTTTAAATAAATATAGTTGAAAGCTGTGAAATTATTATGGTAGTAACTTAATTTTACGGTTTTTTCATAATAGACTCTGTATTTAACAATTATGAATATTAATCATAGCCGATACTAAAAAACCTTTTTGAGAGCTGAAAATCCTAACAATATACTTAAATTTTAAAAACGAGGAAGAAAAAGGGCTACGAGCCAAAACAATTATTTAATTACATTATTAATGTAAAAATTGGACACTAATTTTTATTGCAATAAAACTTTGTTAGTATATCATACATTCTAGTTGTAGTTTTCTTACAATCCCAAATTTCTCAGAATTGTAATGCGATAGAACAATTTGGAAAACGTATTCGTATTCAGCATCCAAAAAATTATAAAAAATGATTAGTCTTCCAATGTTTGAAAGAAAGTCTTTTTTTTGTTAAAGAATGTAATCAATCAATCTTTATGACATATATATATTTTTTATTTTGTTATGCTCTAAATGAATGTCATGTACAACCAAGAATCCCAGAATAAGAATCATCCTGCATAAGTTTTTCTTCTGTGCCTTTGTATCACGTACATTTTAATTCTTCAAAGTGCATTTGCAAATTTTGCATAACGGAAGATTGTGTATGTGTATTTTGTGTATATGTGTGTGTGGGTATGTGCGTGTATGTGTGTGTATGTGTATGTATATATAATATGTATATATCTGTCTTCAATTGCATTTAATATATTGTCCCAGTTTTATATAACATAATGTGACTAAAGAAATATCATAGTTTTATATTGATCCATTATACAGTCCATATTATTTTTAATTATTTTTGACAGCAATAATGAAAAGTATACTAACAATATTTTACAATTATTTTTCATATTAGTTTATTAGTAACATTAAAAAAATGTATTTAGTTAACCATAATATAATTTAGTTCGATTACAATTGATAAACGAAAAATTTTCAGGAAGACAATCGTCTTGAAGTTTTAATTTTGCAGTTACAGTATGTTTGTTATCGATGCTGTCGTCTTTATGATGCAACAAACTGTATTCATTTACTGTAACGTATATTTTTTTAAGGATAAAATATATATATTAAGACCAATCTGTTTTTAATTGAACAAAAGGAAAAGATTATATTTACCTTAGTATATAATAAGTTCAGTTATAAAAGAAGCGTATTAAATAAGTATACATTTATTACTCTGTACGTAAGTGAAATAAGGTGCTGACATTCGATGTTGTAATCCTGGATAGATAAATAATTAATATAATTTAATGTTTTGAAAAGAAAATTCTATTTTTAGTACTGTTAAATCAAGGATCGAAAATGATAGTTTCGTGAATTTAATTTTCCTTGCTATAGACATGCAAAAGGGGATCTTATGTTGGTTGTCGCATTTTCATTGTTATAAATAAAAGATAGAGATCTTCGTGTATTCGTAGCATCGAAATCTATGGTTTATTCTTTTTCCATCCCTTCTAAACTGGTGTACACTGGTGCAATAAATTAGAGTAAAATAGATATAGTTTGTTTTACTCTAACTTATTGCATTAGTTCAGAACTAGTTCAGAATTTTTCGAAAAAGAACAGACCTCCGAATTCACAATTTATGAAATATTACTTTCGATCTCTGCTTGTGTAATATGTACGTTGAACATCGAGTGATAAATATCGCGTGAAAAAAATACTCGGTTATTCCCGCAAGAATTAGCCATTGGCGTGGAGCTTCTTTCATTGAGACGTATATAAATATATATGTAATTATTCGAAAGACAGATATACTAGACAATCATAAAATTTGAATGCCATTTCTTAATATGTGTGTGGCATACCGTGATTATTGTGTGTATAATATACATATAATATGCGCACGTGCGCGCACATGGCATAAATGTGTATGTATGTGTGTATATGTATATATATATATATATATATATATATATATATATATACATAGGGTATCATTAAAATTTGTGAACTCAAAATACTACAGCAAGGAAGTTTTCAAAAAATTAAATAAAAAAGTTAT